GACAAGGCTTTGATATCATAAGTCTACTCTTATCAATCTGTGAGGAATAAGAACTTGATGATTGTAAATAAACAAGTATAATAAAATGAAAAAAAAAAAAAAAAAAAAAAAAAAAAAAAAAAAAAATGTATATTAAAAAGAAACTAGAATGGCTATTGTCAAAAGATAAAAAGAATAGAAATTCTTGAATCTAAATTAGAAGCAAGAAAGAAATTGATAAGAGTGAAGAAGGCTTCACTCTTATCTCTATACATACTATCTAATTACTAGCTATGTGGCAATGTTCTATAGGACCTGTAATATATGTTGACTTTACAAGATACATCCCTTAGCTTACAAGGCAATTTTTTTGTGTATGTACCACATAATTAGCTTCTTCTTCAAGCTACTAACATGTGTGATACATGGCTAACTTGTTGATTATATTTTTAATCTAAAAAATCAATTATAGATACTCATAAAATCAAAGCACCGTCTATAAAGCTTTTATAGAAGATATTATGGAATTAACTTATTTTTATCTACTTTTACCTATTTCTATTTAATCATATAGGTAATTATTGGTTTATATGTGTATATTTGTGACACTCAATGACTTAGAGCTTTTCATATTTCAGCAATGATTTTTGATGTTATATATTACCTTGAGCTTCCACCATATATTTGGGTCCATGTGGTCTTCTATGTTTTGCAACTCAAGGAATTTCATATCAAACCAAGGCACTTCCAAACCGACACCAACGACCACCACCACTAATTATAATTGGTGACCAATAAGAGTATGAAGTGGATAATATTTTGAAGCATCATTACGTTTGACATGGCAATGGACATCCATAATTTCAGTACAAAGTCTTCTTGAAAGGTTATTCCATCCACGATGCAATGTAAGAACTTGCATGGAACCTCATCCATTGCCAAAAAATAATTTTAAAATAGCATTGGAAGTAAAACGAGGATGTTATTGTATTACATGAAGTCTTACTTGAAAATACATTAGGCACCTAGCTGTGGAAGGTAGAATGAAAATTACAATAATAAAATCCTAATTCTAATAGAATATTAAATAAACTCTAATTAAACCTTAATAATATTGAATATGCTTTAATTAAATTCAAAAGAAACCTTAAAGGAATTATGAAAGAAGCGATAAGAAATCTTAAAGGAATTCAAAAGAAATCTATAATAGATCTTAAAAGAAACCTTAAGAAATCCTAAAGAAGTATTAAAATAATTATAAATATATCTTAAATAAATTTCAACAAAGTCCTAATCTAATCTTAGTTAAAATCTTAATGGACTTCAATTAAATCTTAGCCCAAATTTTAAATTCTAAATAAATTCTAAATCCTAAATCCTAAACCAAATCTTAATCAAATCTTAAATCCTAATTCAATCCTAACTCTAAATCAAATCTTAACCATAACATAACCAACTTAATCTAATCCTAATATAATTTAGAACCTCAATATGTATTGATTAAACCATTGATCTTGCTTAAAATTTTACTTACTTTTCAAAAACTAAGTTGGAAACAAGTATACAAAATTTAAAGAGAATTAAACTTATTAAATAGAAGAAAAATATCAAAATTCACTAAGGTGTTGGCTAGCCTCCTTCTTCAATCTTGATGTTAGTCTTTTTGTACTAATATTTTCTTCTTACACTATTCAATTATCTTCAAAATTCATATATGTATAGAAAATAAAGTCTATTATCTTTAAAAAATAAATTTCATTCTAATTTAACTAATAGATTACTAAAAATCTTAGAAATCCTAATTGCCTCTCAAAAGTCCAATTTTTGTGAGCTCAACCTACTTGAAATTCAATAACCTTCAATTCAATTGTTCGATCAAGCTCAAACTTAGAACATACATTTTAAACAATTATTTTCATAAGTCTTCAAAATTTGAACTATAGATCTAATATCAAACTCACAAAAATTTTCAAAACATAATATCCTTTTTATTTCACAAATTCTAGAATCATCCAAAACAATTGTAACTTTGCAAAGCTCTTACAAAGTCATTATACACTTAAATCCCTAAAAATCAATGCCTAAAGAAATCCTATCAAGTTTGCTATCAAATCCTACTTTTTGATCTATAAAAGAATCTCAAAGTCTCCATAGGTGCATAGTTTTGTGCCTTGGGATCTAATTTCAATCCAAGTTGACAACCAGTCTTCTTCAGATATCAATATTTTGTAATTTGATGTAATTTTTACTTGAACCTATTGATCATTCTCTTCTAAACATGTCTATATCAATTACTTATCTCATTTATTTTTATTTGAGGCATTTATGTCGATACAAAGCGTATAAAAGCCTCTTTTCTAAAAGGCAATATTAAGACTAAACCTTTTATTACCTCCCTATCATTTATCCTTATTTTTCTACTACATCTTTCTATTAGTTTCTTCTATAATAATATTTTTATTTTTATTTTTTACCATATAATTGTGTTATTATATAATAATGTTCCACATTAGTAGAAGGAGATTAATTATAATAAGATATAGATAAGATATTTGTATTATTGATGCATAGAAATAGATAGTTAGAGCCATGTTTGAAAAGTTTATAGAAGTTTCTTGAATTGGGGCTAAGATAGTGGACTATGTAGGACCTACCATAGAACAATCTAGAAGAACTTATGATGATTATCTAGGTGGATCTATCATAGAACATTCTAAAAAGGACTTAGGATGGTTATCCAGGTAGAGTCTATTATTATGAACATTCTAAAAAGTCCGAAGATGGTTGAACAAAGTATAAATAGGATTGGCCACGGTCATTTGGGCATCTAATTAAATATGGCTTCAGATTCTTTTTCTAAGTAAGATTTGATTTTACATCTTCTTGTTTAATTCTACTCTATTTTCTTTTATTATAGTCTGCGTTGTCCTATATTATGATAGGATTTATGTTGTTGTGGATTAGAAGGATCTTAGATTTTCAACATAGTTTGGTCTCATTTCAAACATGTTGTATGTCCTTGTTGTATTTGAACCAAACTTTGTTGTTGTCTATTGATTGATTTTTAATAATGATATAACTATAAAAAAGTGCAAATTGTTAAATGTCAATAATGAGATCTTTGAATGTATTATATTGGCTATCAAAAAGATGATCTATGTTGCAATGTAATTCCATGCAATTGTCACTTATTATTAGGTTACTTCTTGTTCTCTCTTGCTTATTCTCTCTATATCTTTTGCTTGTTTTGTCTTTCTCTTTGTTTCCACTTATTCTCTCTACTATTCTCTATCTTATTCTTTCTCTTATTCTCTAGCTTGTTCTCTATCTTTTCTTTAGCTCATTCTCTTTCTTTTCTAGCACATCCTTATTTTCTCACTTCTTCAATCCATCTCTCATCCATAGGCTTCAATGCAATAGTAACAACCTTGTTCCTTTCAATCTAGCAGCAAATTCTTCTATCTTAGAAAATAAATTTAAAGAGAGAAAAGATTTCCAAAACTAGAGTTCCAAAAAAGAATCTCCTCATTCAAAAATCACAGTAACAATATCAATTGGAGGTGTAGCATTAACAATTCCCATTATATAGATATAAAGCAGAACAGGAAAAGCTGATGATTGAGAACTTTTTGTCCAAACCAAAGCATGGATAGATGTCCACTGGAAGGCGTCTATCCACACTTATCCCCGTGATACAACCGTGGAGAGCGTTTGGGTACATTTTACTTGGCTGATTTTATATCACCTGCCTGGTCTCCCGGGTTTCTTGGTGGACATTGTTGGTAGAGTCGGCGTTGATAGGTTGCAAGCTTCTGACAACCAACAGAAGTGGTTGGTGGCGTTGCCGAGGTGGGGGGCAATTCTAGAACTATCCGGTATCTCGCGGAGTCTGGCCGAGTCTCGCGTGACATAAAGATGACCTTAATCCGGCATTAAATTGACCCTCTGATCATAGCGTCTGTGTTGCCTATCTTTGTGGAGATAATCCTCAATATCAACGTGCTGCTTTTCGGGGATGACGCACATCTGGGGTGGTTCGCGGACTTACTTGACAATACTGGGAGCAGCGCAGCAATAGTACCGTGCGTGATGACGGTGTTGGGTGGGACGTTTTCAGTAGGGCCAGGAAGCTCGGAGCTGGGCTTCAAGACGACGATCAGGCTGGTGTTGTTTCCACCCATACGTTTTGGCGTAGTGTTACTTCCGTTCAAGCGGGGCGCTACTCCTCACGGACACAAGATGGTAACGGTGACCGGGATCCTGTTGGGCGATATGACGGGCGTGCAGGGGTGCGGCGAACGGAACGGTTCGGCGCATTTGTTCTGGCAACATGTATCTGCGGTGGTGATGTTTGCCGCTCGTGTTGTGATTTGTCTGAAGATCGTAAGCCCCCTCTGCATAGTGAAAAACTTAGACTTATTTTCAGCATGACTCAGGCAATGTTTGCATCAGGATACAAGAAAATTTAGACGCTGCTAAACACTTCAACTGCAGAAGTGGCTACTATGGATATAACAATGAAGGACGATAGCATGAAATGTTGCTGGCCGTTCCAAACTAGATACATGTCTGGCTAAATACTCTCACTTGGCGAATGATATACAACCACTGCCTGCACGCCCAGATCGATCAAGTGCTAGGTACCGCCAGTGATGCCCTCAGAGAGTTGGTGGCACAAGTCAAAGGAGCTTGAAATTGCTACAATGGCCCTTCGTGAAGTACAGAGAAACCATTTGACATTTGGAAGACAGTGAACATACGCACTCTGCCAGGAACTTCCACAGGCCATTCAACTCTGTTACTCACTGCCGCATTTACCATTTGATTTTACCATCCCATCACTCCATGCCACTCCACAAGCCTCAACTTCCCAATGTCGGAGGGTGTCTATAGATTGTGATCTAGAAAGACTGGTCCTACAGTCTGCGTAACCGACACTCAGAGAGGATGAACACGGAAAAAACACAAAAAAACAATCAAAGCCTTCACCATGAAATGGCGACGCAAAATCCACATCGAGGTCTGAGAAAAATTATATCTATTGTATAAGTGCTTGCTTACACTCAGACTTCGATGTTACTCAACAATGCCCACGTTGTGTCCAGTCCCTGATCCATGCATCCCAAAACACCAACGTTTCTCTAATCACTACACCATCCCGAACTCACATATACGTTAATCTCCCTAGTCCACCATTGCCACCCTGCTTCATTCTACACACTCATCACCTCGCATAAACCCCAATTCACCCACCACTTCCCGCGTCCGCACCTCCACCAACCATAACCATAACAACACTGCACTGCACTGCACTGCTTCTCCACTTCTGCCCAATGCCCTACGCATCTACACTACACAGCCGCCCATCATCTCGCTTCCCCATCTGTGCGCTCCTCTTCCATGCGCACCCACATCCTACAATCAAAATCAGGACATTACTTCCCATCTAATACTACGCCCCCTACCTCCTACATAGCGGGTGCACTCGTCACCCTTTGAAGCGTCCCTGGCGCTTGCAACACCTCCAGCACATCCACCTTCTGGTTCGCCGCTTCGTTCGCTATCTCCCTCCGCGACACGTTCCACAGCTGCTCCTCTATCCCCAACTTCCGAAGCTCCATCAGCCCGCGCTCCACGTCCACCAGGTCTCGCACCGACGGCTGCATCATCGTCCGACTGATCCACAGCTGTATGCACTCGTCCGCGTAGTCCGCCTCCACGCCGTTCGTCTTCGCACGCCGCCAGAAATACACCAGCCACGCCTGCTTGAACTGCACGTCCTCCACCTCCGCAGGGCTCAGGTCGAAACCATCCAGCCCCCTCAGACCGCTCGGGCTTGCGGAAGTCGACGGACCAGAACTCTGCCGGTGCCGAGACAATGCCAGCATCACGGCGTCCTCTACCTTCAGAGCTGCCAGCTCCCTCAACCCCTTCTCCACTGCCAGCATGCTCTCGATGTTCCCCTCTCCCGTTATGTCGCTCACGTCCCGTACCTTGCCCTTCGTCGCGTTCGCCGCAGTGCTGTTTCGGCTCCGCCCACTCGGCTCCTCCTTCGCACGCTGCCCTGCCGACAGCACCACCTCCAGCGGCAGCGGTGCCAGCGACGACCAGAACTCCGACTTCCCAGCTGCGATCTCCGGATGTATACCGTGCTTCGCAGCCAGTCCCCAGTACCGCGCCAGCCAGCACCGTTTCAGAACCACCTCCTCCATCTCCTCCTGCGTTAAAATCATGCGATGCGTCATCGTCCGCAATGCCTTCACCTCCATCTCCACCTCCCGTGCGGCTTCAGACGCCGCTACTGCTTCCTCTCTCGCCACCTCCGCCTCCACCCGCAACGCCGCGATCTCATCGTCCTTCACATCCTTGCTCTGCTCCTTGGCTGCCTTCAGGGCAGCCTCTCGCTGCTTCAGGAACTGCTCCTTCCTGTTCAGAATGCGTGAGTCAAGCGAGATACCTTCCCCGAGTGCAGTCACCTGCTTCTCCAGCTCTCGCGACCTCAACTCCTTCTCCTGTAGCTTCTCCTCCACTATCCGCAGCTTTTCTGACAGCGACTCGTTCTCCTCCTGCAGCATGTCAATTTCATCACGCAAAGCTGCAGTCTCTCTCCTCGCATTCGGTCCCAACGAATCGTACCCGCTACTAGACGAAGGTGTCGAGTCCGACGAGAACCTCCGTGCGCGCTCTACTAGAGGCTCCGGCGTCGGAGACGTCGACCTCATCACAGCCGACGGCAACACTGGTCTCGGTCGCTGAACAGCGGCTCCCTGCGTTCCACTTATTGCCGTAGGCCTCAGAGAACCCCGAGGATTCGCCGTCGGCCGCAACGTGCTCCCCAGCGTCGCTGGACTGCTGTCATACCGCCCCCTCGGAGCGAGAAGCGGAGATTGATCTCTCGAAGGATCCCTCGCACTCGGCATGTATGGACTGTAACGAGGAATATCAATATCCTCATCATCGTCGTCTATGGAGTCGCGATTCGCCTGCATAACCTGAGCAAGACGCGCTGCCGCGGCTTTGGCAGCATAATTCTGGCTCTTCTTCACGGAGTTCTGCACCGAACCGGACGCAGACCCCGATCGCGGATGGGGGATGCCCACACCCCTCTGTTGCCGCCCATGCACAGGGCTGCCATTTCTCTCCCTCTCCGCCATAACTCACTCCCGATCTCTCTTCCACTTTGGGTATCCAAATCTGTCCTCGCTCCTCACGACAGACGCTTCCGTCCCGCCGAAACTTTCCTCACTTTCAACACACAAATGCTACCACCCAATCGCTACAACCCCTGCATTATGCACACCCATCGCCCTTCCGCACTGTTGAGGTCTACCGATGCGCACCGCTTTTTTCATGCCGCCTCTTCCCATGTCAAGCATGCTTGAACAGCTTCATGCTCAGCCAGTGGAAGTACACAGCCGCCACAAACACTGGTCCAGTCAATGGAACCACCAAACTGTAATACCTGCATACCCCCACACCCATACCCTGTTAGTGTCACGCAACATCCCAACTGCCGCTCCCACTCGCTGTACGCATTCTCTACCTGGAGTTCACAACTCTAAATTCAGCTGCAGCTTTGCAACTCTGGTAGCCTGGAGCTTCCTGCTACCTCACCTACAGCGTCCACGACCTCACCAATGAAGCAATGCACCAGTGCCATCTATTACTGTGCGAGAACGGGACGTCCTCGCTAATTCTACTGACTCTATGGATTGAACTGAAACAGACGAGCACCCGGATTGGGCATAATCTAATCCCCGATCCTTCAATTCTCTCCACCAGAAACACCATTAGACCTCACCAATCGCTCGGACTAACGCCCACAATGCCAACCTACAACCATTCCAGATCCGCACCCACCATCCATGCCACGCACTTGCCATGCGTCGCCAACCACCCGACCTTCACAACAAACAGGTAAGCTTCCCCTCACAACATCCGTGCCTTGCAGCATTGCTTCCACCACTCCAACTAGACCTAATGGCGACCCCACCCCCACACGCATCGTCCCTTGCCACCCAATCACACAACCCTCGATTAGGGCTCCTTCATCCTTCCAAGAATCTCCGCCATCCCAACCCACCAACCCTCGACCTCCGCATCCACTCAACAAACCCCGGAGCTCCACACCGACACTCAGTCGATCGCCTTCCAATACCACCACCCGACTTTCTCACGCACAACAAGAAATCCCCGATCCCTCGACCAACCCAACCACACCCACGACACGGACCATTCAAAATCGGACCACTTAAGGCAAGAACGGGGTGCCATGCCGACGTACCAGTCGCCGCGAACAGCGTCCAGGAAGGGTACTCCGCAGGGCGGGAGCAGCTTTGACAGCAGGGCAGCGTACAAGAGCACACCGAAACCCACCACACCTGCGGCAATGAGAAGCACACCCCAGCAGAAAAGCAGCTGCGGAGGAGCGGACGACTTGCGCGCAAGCGAGGGCAACCGGAACAGCGCAGGCGCAGGGCGACCATCCATAGCCAGTCTCCCAACCAGCGAGCAAACCAGCGACCCCGTCCTCGTCCCCTTTCTTCTCTGCACCCACCTGCCAACTCCTAACTATGGAGCAGCCCGATCGGAAAAAAGTGCCGAGAAAGTGCAGACTTGCTTGTGATGCTACGGTTGTAGTAGAAAAACAGTGTATCTCCTCCTCCACCTCCTCCGAGGCCTTGTGATGGGGCGATGCGGAATCGGGAAGAAATGTATAAATACAAAGTGAGGGGTGAGCCTGCTGCTGCTGCTCCGAGCGTGTGTGCCTGGGATTTTGCTGACCAAATCGCTGGCATGAGGCTGCAGTGCCGCATTTGCTCTGAGGCTGCCTGCACTTGTGGACCCCCTTCGTGACTGTGAACCCGGGCTCCGCGTTTGGTCCTTCCAATCTGGGGTCCATTTGAATTTGTCTCCACTCCATCTGTGATTGCCTTACAGTTTGATGGGTAGTCTGTGCATCTTAATAGTGTGAGCATTTGGACTTGTTACAATGGGAGCGTTGCTTTATTTGTTGCTTTTTTGACATTATCACCCTTGGTATGCACTTGCTTTTGTTCATTCTGTGGAAAAAATGTGATTTATAACGACAAAAACTGCTACAATTGATTTTTGTTTTATGATTTTGTAGTGTTTGTAAGTTAGATAACTAAAGCTTTTAATTTGTGCCAGCACTTGTGAGATTTCTCATCCAAGTTTTTTATTCATGTGGCTTAACATATCCTGTGTGATGAGTTTGCTGTGTATTAGAAACATGCAAAGGATTAGCACATTCGTGTTGTGTTGGTCTTTATACAAAAGTTGAAAAATGAGGTCATGCTTATTCACATTCAAAAATTAGCAAAAACTTTTTTTTTCTGTACTTGTTATAACAATTCAAATTCGTATTGAGAAATCATCAAAATAATCAAAAACCATTATTTGTTGAACTACATTAATATAAAAAAATATAATGTTAATGGTTTTCTTTTTTACCATAAAAAAATATAGTATGTTACACGTTATTACAGTGATGTTATCAACAAGACTTATTGCATAAACAATGTATTTATTATTTTAGAAATTTCTCTTCAAACTAAATTTAATTTTTCATTAGCTTTTTTCACTCAACATAGTTCCAAGCTATATATTTTTTTATTACCAAATAAATCTTAATAGTGTATGTCTTGAAGTGCTAAAATGATTATATGTATTTACACATATTTCACAAAAAATACAATTATATGTACAAGTTCTAAATTTTGTGCATAAAGAATAAAAATTTGAATCCTACTTCATGAGTTCATATTGTGTTTTCTTTGTTTTCACCAAAAGGGATATTTAATTAGCTGCATTCCAAATAATAGTATTAGAGCATTACACTTACAATCAATCTATCCAAAATTATAAAATGTTTATCATTTTATTTCTGTATTTTTTTTATTTTGTTAGTTATTTAAAAAGCGAAATAAACATTTTTGTGATTTGCTATACTAAAGTTTTATGAAATTTCTTGCTTAAGTCGCTAGAATTTTATTTACTAAGATAATACAAATTTCTACATAATTTGTTAAGAATATTTTCTGTAATACAAAAAGATTTTAAGAAATTGTAAAAGAGTTTATGGCCTCTAAACAAATAATAAGACATAAAAATACTTTGATAAGAAAATAGTTCCATAAAAGGAATGCATTTTAAGTCCTATTTGTCCAAATGTTTTAAAGGGTTAATAGATCTGATTATAGATGTGAATTTTCAATAAAAGCTGTGAGTTAAAGATCTGTTCAACAAAAAACAAACAAACAAACAAGAATATTATTTTATTTTATTTTATTTTTTGGAAATAATTTAACCAGTTACACTAATTTTTCCAATCAAGATTATTGTCAAAGAAATCATGTAGTATTTGCTTATACCAGTTAAGGTAATATGTTTTATAATCATGTACTTGAACTGAACACCCACAACAAAATTTCCTTGGTGCATTTTCTTCCTGGGTTTTTCGGGAAAAAATATACACACAACCACAGAAGTACACAAATCATCAAGAAAACGCGAGGACAATGGTATCAAAACTAGAACCAGACAAGAAAGGCTTCACGATGGAGAATGTGAAGCAAAAATGGATGATACTATGAATTGAAAGGAGATCGTCCGTCTAGCCAACCCAACGACATGGGCGTCGTCAGAAGCATGGATTAAAAATGTCTCTAAATAAACAATATATACAATTCTATGATAGAGTGATTCTAGCAGTATGATTGCTGACAAGAAATTAGCTGCAACATGATACGTCACAATGAGCTCCAGCTGCAGAAAAACCCATCTCTTCATTCTGGTCAAGGAGTAGTTCTTTTGCTCCACCACTTCTTGCGTGTCTTCTCTTTCTCAGCCGAATCTACGTTGCACAATCTCTGCAAGACCAACTTGGTCTCTCGCAGCCTGGTTTTGAAGTCTTTCTTCCAGGTATCAAATCTCATTCTCAGCTTCCGGAGTTCTTCTTCTGGGTCCAGGGGCGCTTCAGTAAGGCCTGACTTAACCTCTATGAGAAAATCAGCGTCGTCATTGAAGACCTGTGTTCGGTGATCAAATTCTCTGACTAGGTGATTGACCACAGACCGAGCAGCGTCCACATCACCACGTGGGGTGCTACACTCACGGCCTGGTAGCAAGTACCTGTTATAGAACTGGTCCGGGCTCCTTGTGCCGTTAGTGGTGGCGTCATCCCAATCAAATTCTTCGTCGTCAGGGGGGGGCAGGAGTTGCCGTTTGGTGCGCTGATGCTTACCGGCAGAAAAGCGATCATTGATAGAATCATGATCCTTCGTTGGAGTTTGCAGCATTGAATAGTCATCCGTTGCTAAGCTCCTCTTAGCAGCTGATAAGCTGAGCTGCAGGGACGACATCTGCTTCTGCCACATCTCTTCCATGGACGTCATCTTGGCTTCATACTCCATCCACCGTGCCTCGTAATGCAGGATCTTCTGCCGCATCGAGGCATTTTCTTCCTCCTTCTCTCTTAGTGCTTTCTCTGCCATTACTGCACGCCGCTGCAGCTCCAGAAGGTATGAGGGCCGCACCTTGATGGTGACCTCTTGCAATTCCTAAAAAAAACACAGCAACGACAGTGAATTTCTTCCCTACACAGCGAGGCCTGGTTTGTGTCGATGCGACACTGTTTGGAAAAGTATTTAACTAAACTATATCGATTGGTGCAGGACGACATTGAGTTACAGGTACATAGCTTACCTCTGCTGCCACCACCTTAATGAGTTCTGGTTCTTCATCACGCTCATCATCAGCAAAAGTATGTTGTTCGTGAATCATGCGTTCTTTCTTTAACTTAGTTTCTTCTTTGATCCTAGCTTCTTCCCTAGCTTGGGCCTCGACTCTTAGCTTCGCCTCAGTTGCCAGCCTCTCTTCAGCCTCCCTTCTTTGGGCAAGAAATTGTTTCCTAGCCAACCACATACGAATGACTGCCGTTTGCAGCTTTCCAGTTAGAATGAATCATATATCACAGGAATTCATATCATAAGCAGCTGGGCACCATTAAAGGAAACGACTCCTTAGAGCATTATTTCAAATGGAGTAATTAGCTTTGAAGAGTAATCAGTACCTGCTTGAACCTTGACGATTTTTTCTTTTATTGATTGATATTTACGACAGGCAGACTGCTGTCGTGCATACTTTTGTACAATTACAGCTGCACGATGCCTCTCTAGCAATCTCCCGAATCGCTTTCTTGCTATTGCCCCTCTCACCACTGAAATATCGCAACAGGAATTACGCCAGTAAGCTCAAGACAAATTCACATAGTCAATCAACAGTTAGGATGTAAATAAAAAGCTACTAAGAACTTTGACGCAACCACACATGAAAAAGCGTGCATACTACAATCAATTTCCATTTGTAGAAAGAGGAAAGGCAAGAATAATAATATGTTCAACAAAAAAATCCAGACAGTAATGCTTCTCTATATAATTCATAAAAAAACAATTACATAGCTCTAAATTCCATGACATGCTTGTAGATAACTAAATTTAACAGAAAGTAACATTGATAGGAGAGTATAGTCTCACTGCATTGTAAAATGATTGTGGTCATGCGTCGTTGTTTGTAAATGCACCGGGCCTTGTAACCCTTGTACACTGCTTGAACTCGAGTGACACCCTGAAGGGTCCTCAATCTAACGTCCTCCAAATGTCCTATCTGCGTTAAGAATTTCATAACAGATATTCACGATGTTAATCTCGAAGGTAGATAATGAGGTCAGCCTGGATCGACATGTGTCTTAAGTTTATTTTAAATTTTACGAGAATTTTTCTGTAAAAAATTTTGTTACATAAGAAAAAGAGAGGCCATATTATGAAAGGAAGACAAATCTAACCTGTCCAGCACGAAAGAATAGCTTTGAGATGCCAACTTGATACATATCTGGAGGAATGCCAAATTGATGTAGTATGGAAACACATATATCTAGCACATCCTCCTGGTTGGATAGGCTTCTTGGAAGAAGAAAGCCATACCTGCACATTCACCTAAATATTGTTTGAATATTGCACTCGTGATTTCACAGGAGGATGCAGATCTGAAGCAAAGCCGTCTGTAATGCTCACATCTAACATTAGACATCACTTAGACCGTTTTGCCTTGTATTTATGCAACGGTGAAACGAAGCTAGCAATGACAAAGGGCCTTGGAAGTAAAATTTAACATTTGAAAACTCAACCCTAAAAATTCAGATGAAGTTGTGTTAATATAAGCCCCCAGGCATTGTTTTACCGGCTTGCAAATTCATCATGCGAATGACGGTTTGGATAGCCAGATCGTGAGATGCGAACGACCTCAAGGACTCCACAACACCGAAGCTGCTGTAATACCAGCCCCTGCTCGAATATATCAGGAAGCTGTGATGTATTGGGTTTGATACACCTGATGAAGTGGGGCTCAGTGCTCTCCAGCCTTTGCATCAGCTTGTTCAGTTGACCCTTCAAAACCCAAGTATTTAACGAGATCTCAATCAGTTATCCAAGTTATTAAGTCGACTTCATTACGTGATTGCTAATCCACCGTAGCTTACTGTAGGTGAAGAGAGTTCTCTAAAACTGGCATACATGGACAAAATAAGATTGGTTGTAAGATGCATACTCTTGACTTAATAAATTCAGCTAGGCATTTGAGTGAAGGTAATATATCTTAAATTTCAAGAGAATATCAAGAACATTACACATTCATGGGTTCTCGAACAAAAAGAGAGCCATTAAAATATATAATAAATGTAACATGATTAGATCAATGACGCGTCACTGACCATCATCTTAATGCCGACTAGATGCCACTAGAAGTTTAAGATGTAGCACAATAAAGAATTATCTGCAAAACACAACTGACATAGGACTGCATTGGTAGAAGGAACACACCTTGAACTTTGTAGCCACACTCTGCTTTTGTGATTCTGTACTGCCATTGAAACTCCTGCGGGTGGGACTGATCAGCTTCTGCACACCATCTCCGATAGAGGCAGCAAAGAGCTGTGATAATGCGCAATCACAGGAAGCTAACAACTGCAACAGATCTGCATGAAGCAGGTCCCTGTTTTTCTCGAGAAACCCATTGGTTTCATACACCACCTACAGCCAGGACTAGCAGTTAATCGTCTGGAGAGGTTTCAGGCAGATCGATAACTACAACCTTGTCTCCAAAGTCAAAAAACCCAGCCCAGATGTCAGTGAACCATCACAAATGACCCGTTTTCACTTTCTCAACAGCTTAACTTGCCAAAAAATTCAAAGAAAACTGTATCTTATTCGTGAACCAGAATTATTCTCATGAACCCATAGCACAGGAACTGCAAGATAAATACCTCCCCGGCGTAGTGACAAACGCGGAATGCCTTATCTCGTTCGCATTTGAAACAAACATTCCCTTTCAGATGCTCCTTCCACTTATTTGCAAGTGTTAAATCTGAAGATCGTGGAAACATGCACTCTTCATCCAGTAGTGAAATCAATCCCAATGGTCTCTGCACGGCGCATGTACCCAAATACAATTAACTTTATGACTGTGTAAGTCCTACATGATACAAGTCGCGCACATTTCCAATCTTTCACGATAACATGCCCTGGTTTGATAAACTCAGATGCTCGTGGAGAAGTGCGCCAGTTGAGTTGCAATCAAAAGAACCAAGATTGCCAGTTGACACTATGATAGAAGATTTTTGAAGTCGTTTAATTTCACATACTTGAGTTGTGTGATGCAAAGCATAATTACCTTCTCAATAAGATCAAGACACTCTTGATTATCTTCAAAATCTACTCTGGTCCAATCAATGTTTTCTGAGGTGTACTCCTGTAAATTTGTCACAGCCAAAGTCGTACTCTATCAGTTGCATAATTCTACTCCAAGATCCATTCAGACGCAAGAGATGAAAAAAATCGAATTTCAGGGAAACATTGGAATCGTACAACAACCTAAAAGACCCAGAAAGAAAGACTAGTTTGCAAATAATTAGCTTTTTGTGTACCTCTTGCTCAAGCTTAAACAGATGGCGATTGAAATGTTGTTGCAACCTTTCGTTTGCATAGTTTATGCATAACTGCTCAAAACTGTTCTTCTGCAATCAGGAGGGAAATGCTTAAGCTAGACCATAAGAAGAGCCATCAATCCAGAAATCAAAGCTTTGACTAGATCAGGAAACAATTAATAATAAACTGCTTACAATCTCATTCTAGTGTATGAGAAGATTTCACCTGAAAAGATTCAAAACCATAAATATCTAGTATGCTGATTGACCTTCCTGTTCGCTTCTTGCCAACCTCCAAGGACTTGTTAATACGTTCCACCAACCAGTCAAACAAGTTCGCATAGATAGCTTTAGCAAGGGCGTCTCTGGAATCGGTTGCCTGCAACCAGAAAACAATTAGCCTCTGCGCCAAGTTTTCATTCCTGTATCCGATGGATTTTCAAAAGCAGACTAGAATAACCCTTCACATCTAATTAGCAAAAAAATTCAAAGCTTCTAGTCATTGTAAACCAAGCATGCTGATAGGATTTGACAATTCTATTCAAGGGTTTTAAAACAACAAAGGATACCTGAGTTAGGGTCAATCTCTGTATAATATGATCACCTCCTGCACGGATCCTTCGGGTGGAGAGGGCTGCAATAAGATCGCTGCACTCGCAATGAAGCAATGCTGCGGCCACTTTTACCGCTGCACACAGGAAGTATATACAATCATTTAACGTAAGATCGAAAACATATTACAACTATAAACTATATAGTGTTGAACTTAAGCTCAACAGCATGGTTTGTGCTAGAAAACCAAGTTGACTTACGTTTGCACTCAGTCGCAAAAAATATAGTATTAATTACCTTCATTTTCATCAACAACGACATGATTATCATATTCAACAACGGAGAAAGTGATATTCCCAAGCCACAGCACAGCTGAAAGCATTTCAAAAGATTGCTCTTGGTCTTCCTTGCTGATATCCACGACATTCATGGCACTCTGCAAGACAAGATTCCCACAACGGAATTAAATGCAGAGTCACCAATGAAGACATAATACATGTATCGATACCTGGAAATCATTCAGTAGTTTGTTCCACTCAAACAACGCTTGAAAAAGTTAATGAGCTTTTCAAACGAGTCAGAATAAACAGCACATGCAGCAAGTTTTCAGAAGATAGGCACCAAATACAGCAGGATCTAGGACTCACCCTCAAATTTTGGAATTTCTCTGCATCGTCAACGTTGTCGATAGACAAACAGTTGCTTTGGCTCAAATACCGATACTCTTTCGCAGATTTTAGATGTAACCGTTCTGCTCCAGAATGGAATAGTCGCAAATTAGAAAATATTTATCATGATTACAATTCACAATCCATCATAGACGCAATCAAATACTTCCGGTTCAAAGAAACGGAATCAGTTACAATTAAAAAGGCTCAATGTGTTAAATTATGTTACCTTGTAAAGGTCTATTAGCTCCAGCGCAAAGCTGATAAAAGACATGATAAGACCTTTCGCCTTCAGCCTGCTTGACAACTCGTGACTGCGATCATGACACATTGCAACGTCAGACAACATGATTACATTCATTGGAAAGCTGCACTCAGTATTTATCTTTGTGGCAGAGGATACAGTACTTCTATATATCAATAACCATTCGACTGCAGCTCCACTGAACAAGAGTATAATCTGCTGAAGTATGTAGGTCAAGCACCAGGTTATGAGCAAATCAACAGATTTCTTTACTTGATAAGGTGAAATTAGCTACCGTTATCAACAATGAATAAATAAACTCACAAAAAGCTAGATTACCTTTTCTAGTAAATCTTCTCGAACATAAGTGAAAGAGTTGCAACAAGGCCACAACACACAAACCAAAGTAAGAAGCAAATATACCAAGACAATCGAAAAAGAATGCAGAATGTGTGCTAGAGAAACAGCATAGCAGCAACAAGAATCTGAATTTATGCAAGTGCCTCTTAAACGTCCATTTATTGCTACTTGTAATTGAGGTGCAATGTCTTATAAAAGCTTACAAGTGTGAATATATGCACCACATATTCTCCCTGATCTATCAAAGTGGATGTCAATCAGCTTGCCCTGTGAACATAAACAGCGGTGTCACCAACAGTACAAGAGCACAGTTGAAGACTAAAGTTCTTCCTAACTCATATCGACCTCAAACGAAATAACAAGAACTACGACTTCCAATGTCTCCGTCACTGTTATTATGTAGAAGCTTAGTACAAATGAAACCAATAAAGAAGGTCGGGACACTTACAAAGCGACTGGAATTGTCATTTCGTAACGTTTTAGCGTTGCCGAATGCTTCCAAAATAGGGTTTGTTTGCAAGATCTCATCTTCCAACCCACCACCGCCTCCAAGTGCAGCTAGATACTGCATGGCAATTTTGGCGGTTTCTGTCTTCCCTGCACCGCTCTCACCACTGTAGAAGGTCCAGGATTCAATACAATTGTTCGAGCACAACAGAAGACAAAGAGATTATGTCTGTAAACGCAAGATGCTGGAAGAAAAGGAAGAAGAAGTAATGAAAAAGAAATTATTTAATGAGTTTTAAAACTTAAACCATATCAGTAAATCTGTCAACGACGCACTTTAGAAACAAGATTGCCCACTGGGCTCATCACTGAACTTCTTAGAATGAAAGACTAAGAGCTATTTAAGAGGTCTGCAGTTCACAACAAATAAAAACGGTAACATACCTAATGATAATAGACTGATTGATTCCATCTGCACATGTGCCACCATAAAAACCCAATGAGACAGGACCTCATCTGTAAAATCGAACTCCTTAGCTGAATCGATATTCAATAGAAGTTTCGGACTTTACTGAAAAAGAATAAACTAGATCACATTACTGAAAATAAACCTAGTCGCCCGCCACTAAACAGGTATCGAGATTGGGTACCTCGCATCATGGCATTGAAAGCAGTGTCCGCTGTCATATATACATGAGGATGAGAGCTCTCTGGAGTTCTCTTTTGATAAGCTTGTACACTGTCTGGACCATAGATGGGAACTTTCTTAAAAGGATTGACTGCAATCAAGACAGGACCTGCTCTAGTCTGCGTAGCGACATTCCACAACGATGCTGAGAGAGAGTTTTAAATGTCCTCACTACGATTACGAGGAAAGTCACAAGTAGGATCGCAATGTAACAAGACACTGAGTACCAGAAAATTCTTAATTGAGTCGTACGAAATGAGCTGTAGGCGCCACAGCTTGTAGTAGCACTTGTGCTAGATGTTTTACAAGCAACAACAAAAGCTCGAAGACAAAGAGACAGAATTCACCAGCAGTTGAAGGAAAAGCCAGATTCTGATTATGCTTACATATATTTTGTCCTTCGCATACCGGAAGGCTAAATTATGCAGAACAGAAGGCTCGTTCAGGTAGCTGAGTTTGATCAAATCGAAGACTCCTTCTAATATTTCGGGGTTTGCTGGCTGTAGACTTGACGCATTTACTTTGATCATCTGCACCAATTTACAAGGAAAAATCTTCAACAAAGAAATTATACGAGGAGTAGTCCTTGACACAGGGATAGGTCGAATGGTAGAACTCAGTATAATAGCAAGCAATCAATAGTAATGAGAATCTGAAATTAAAGTAGAAACAAAATAATGCGATGAAAATTTTACCAGTTGATCAGGAGTGCGAACCACGGCCTCCGTATCCTCGATAGTAATTACTGTTCCAGCAATCCAATTGTAATCTGAAGATAAAAACCACACCCGTAGATTCTGCAATTGCGACACCTCCTTATAAGCATCGCCACACGCATTCCAAAACAAGGGCAACGTTTATACTAAGAGACAAAAATCTCCTCGAACTGGAAAGCACTGCCTACAACAACGTGAAACTTACAAAAGTTCTAGGGCCAGGACAGGTTCCCCTAATGGTCATTCAGGCAACAAAGTCCTATAATTGCTCGAACTCAGCTGATCACAGCTGTGGAAAAGCTAGGGAACGATTTTTGGTGGTACTGAAAAGTGCGCACATTACTTGCTATGTCATATTCCTGAAAAAATAACCCTTCCCTGTAGCGCAAGAGAAATGAAACCCTAACAAGAAAGATTGATTAGGATTTCAGAGGATCGGCCAAGTATACCTTCTTCAAGCGCAATGTACCATCATCCCTCCATTTCTTGCCAGATGATGGAGTAGTGGCAGGATGAAGGGCAAAATTTTCCGCGCCAGGAGTTTGAGGTGCAGGAGGTTCTTGTGCAGTTAGAAAACTGAAAGTTGATTGTTCGCGAGAAAATCCCCGGTTATCGCCGGAGACATTTATTCTGTCATCAAAGATACTGCCCATTTGTGCATTGCTTTCCTTTGCCGGCGTGAAAAGAGTAGGCATGATGGTAGGGGACGATACGAACTGGGGATTGGGCAAGCTTCCATAGTTCGCAACTATCTCTCTTTCCGCAAGAGGGGCATGACTATTTTCAGATGCAAGGTCGAATGGTTTTGACAGGCATCTTGAAGCCAAGCCTGCAGGATCGACTGCTGTAATCAGATTTGAAATGGGGGACCCGAGGGCGATATTTTCCTTCAACAGCATCCCGGAACCTTTACTCGGGATGGCGAGATTGTCTATACACGCGCCCGGAGCTTTCTTAGCTCGCATTGATGATGATAAGCGCGCTCTGGATGTGGGCATCGAAGGTGCAGACAGAACCACATCGTTCTCCGTCTCATCACTCAACATGTCATCCTCCTCAATGTATTCAGCCGTCGTAAAATCTTGCACTCCCCGCACGGGGGTCCTAGAATCGTTTCCAACCGAGGAAAACATTGTGACCTTCGAAGAATACCGCAACTGTTCAATGCCCTGTACGTTTCCAACTCTCTCAAGGGAATCCCGCCATCTTCCCCAAACACAAAAGACTTCCTATCTAACCTCGCCGATGTCGAATTAGAATGCCGCTGAATTTAAGAAAGACCATCAAAAAGATTCTTCCTCACAAATGGACAAATGCTTTTTCAGCTGACAATGCTCGTTCTCACACAACAGCACCGCGAGATGTGACAACCAACCCTGACACAACAGACTCCCGGATCCATCCCCCGAAGAAACTACACTCAGGGGAGGGAGGGGAGAAAAAAAAAAAAAACCGCAACTATCACCGCTACGCATTCACATTATCATCACTTTCCAAGCGAAAGATCCAAATGCTGCTGCAACCACCATTCCCTCCCTCCCTCCAAGCTCACCGTGCCCTTCTAACACTCCACACTCTCCTTCACTCCAACCACCACCCCACACACTGTCCGAATGAATTCCGCCACAAGCCAACATTCCCCTTCCGGGAGCTCGCACCCCACTCAATCCCAACAACCCCCACTGGATGAAAACTCACTCAGAGTCTACTCCACCACCCACCGCAAGCCCAGGGGCGGAGAAATCCAAGCGCGGAAGGGCCAAACAGGCAGGAGGCAGGAGGTGTAGTAGTAGTAGTGGGCTTGGCCATAAGGGACACGATGAGAGAGAGGCGATGTAGCCTGCTGCTGGCAACGGCCAGGCCGAGTCTGATTTGTATTGCCAGCTCTCCCCTTCCTTCCCTTCCCTCCTCCCTTTCCTCTTTCCTTCTTCTCCGTCTCCTTCTTCTTCTTCTCCTTCCTCTTCGTCTCCTGGTGGCCAGTTGCTGCTGCTGCTGATGCAGTGCTGTGCTGGTTGCGGCGGCGTCCTCGTAACTCGTCCCACTCGTCCCTCTCTCGGTCTAACTATGTACTCGCCATGTATTCATCGAGAGAGTCTGGGTCTGGCCTTGGGGGGGGGATGAATGAATGGATGGATGAACGATTGAAATAATCTAGTGTGAAGGAATTGTCGATGGATGAGGATGAGTATTTGCGTGGATGTGGAATTCTTCGTTCGTTCGTCCAAGTCGGTGCGATTTCTGTCAGAAGGGAATTGCTCGGAGGGGGGGGGGATAGTGAATAGTGAGTAGTGAGTGAATAGTGAGTTCGGTGGGTGGTGGTCTCATGAGGAGGGAAATTTGTAATTGGGTCACGAGGGAAATCAGTTCCGGGAAAATTTTCTCTAAACTGCTCTTCTTTCTGGTGGTCCTGGTCTTTTTCTTGTGGAATAGGAATCCACTTATGCGTTCCTTTTTACATTTTCTTCTTCTTTTCTTTTTTGGAATTTCCTTGGATTGAGGATTCAATTTGAACATGGACAACACTTACAAGTAATAATCGACTCTTTGCCCCTAATGAGCAACATGCTGTCTTTTTGGTTTATTCTCTCTCTATTTCATCAAATATTGTTTTCAAACCCTGTTTTTTTTTGTTAATCATAATTATTTTTAAAAAAAATGCACATATAGTTCTAATCTAAAACCTTCATTCTATTCTATTGATGATTTTTAATATATATATATATATATATATATATATATATAATAAAATAAAATGTCATGGCTAAAAATGAAGGGGTCTTTATACTCAGAAGATTGAAAGGTCATGCTCCAAAAGATATTTTGAATGTCTTCTTTTTGGTGAAAAAAAGTTGTCCTTGGGAAGCCTTAGCCATTGACACAATATAAAGTGAGAAGAGGCCATGACATGACTTAACATTTGCTTATTTTTTTATTATTTATTATTATGATTCTAAAGATGGCACTTCATATTTTGATGTTGATGATTATGAAATATATATATATATATATATATATATATATTTATACACACAGAGAGAGAGTTGTTAATGTTACTTTTAGATCAAACCATTTTTAAGCCAAATGTTATGTTTTTTTTAAAAACGACTTATTACATATTTTTTCATAAAATATTTATTTGCTCCAATCTCAACCACCACCCTTTCTTATGGCAAAGGAAGGAAAAAATGCTCGAAAGAAAGATGCATATTATTAGCTAGTTGTCTACATGGATATCACACTAAATGTAGCAATATTAATTGGAGATATAGCATTTACACTTCTCTCTCTCTCTCCCAACTTCTCTCTCTCTCCCAATGTGTGTGTATATATATATTTGGTATAAATGGTTTTTAAAATTTTTAATAAGTACTTTTAACAATTTCTAACATAACTTCTTAAACATTGATAAAATCTACCTCTTGAAGTGGGCCTGATTCAAATTTTAGAAAGAAATACTACCAATATAATATAGAAAAAGAATGAGTTTATCTCATCTTTTTCTTTTATGATGTTTTGTCTAATTTTTTTAAGTGTAAAACCAACCAATAGATACTTCTTAATTTTAATTAACTATAAGCTTTGAAAGTTGTGGTTTCTTAGTATTTCTCTTGAACATTAAGACTTTTCTAAATCCAAAATTGTCTACTTCTTATTAAAAGATAAATGGCACTAATTATTACTTGCAATGTGCACATCTACCAATGGTTTCTTCTAAAAAAAACAATAGCACCTATAGAAACATTATCTCAAGAAAATAACTTCTTTGTTTTTAAGAAAACTTTCTCCTTTGATTAACTTACATATGTGTTGCTTACTATATTTGAAACTTTATTGTAACATTTGTTTGAGTTCATTTTCTTCATGGGCATCCATATCATTTACTTGTAAACATGTATTTGACTATAAAAATAAAATAAAATAAGGTATAAAGTATTTTTTCTGTTTAAAATCTTGTTCATATATTTTTGAAAATTTGAATTTCTATTATTTTTGAATTTCAATCATTAGTTTTATTAACCTAGACCAAAAGTTCCATCTAAAGATCATATAAATTGACTTGCATCATCAATTAAAGAATTTTAATTAAAAAACAAAAATCAAAAATCAAAAACTTTAATGAACCAGGCTTTAGCATCAAACAAAAGGTTAATGTCCTAATTAGCCCTTGAATCAATTTTATAACAGTACAGGAGTTTTATTTTACCTATGTGAATAGTAGAAGTTATGAACAAGTGTTGAACACTATAGTGCTTTTGACCGTGTGAAATAACTGTGAAAACAAGATATCAAAAGAAACATGCATAATCACTTCAAATGATACATAAAGATGCAGTTACTTTTCAATGACAAATGCTAATGACTTGTTAATCAGAACAAGGTATGGCAGAACAGAAGTCCTTGCAATGTAATCAAAGGATTGTGCAGCATTTCATTCCACAAGCCAACACTAACATACCACACTATTTTTTTAAAAAATATATATTTTTATTCACATTAGCAAAAATTGATTATGCATCAAAAAAAGTATCATGTCTCAATTAGTTATCCAAAGGGCATATTAAAAAAATAAAATAGATAGGGTAGGGGATTCTGCCAGGTTCTCATCCATCCATATGGACAGAGTTATCATAGTCTCTGTGGATGAGAAGTTGTGCTAGAGGGAAATAATGCGGTCATGAGAATAGGGGAAGTTTGGGGAGGGGGATGTCTGTGAGCACTCTCCAATGTGGTGCCGTGATCTCACAGTCACCGTGGCTCCCAAATTATTCATTCACCATTAAAATATTTTGGGTTCAACTTTGTTGTTTAGCAAGTTTTCGTATCCCCAATTCGTATAAATACCTTGAAATACACTTAAACAGAATAATGAAAGCAAACAAGTAAATAAATAAAGTATAGAATTGTGTTGTGACTGTAAAAAGTGCACAATACTTTTGATGGTGGCTGTATTTTCAGGTTGGGGATTCCATTATTAGAAGCTTTAGAAACACGTTGCACAGGTACAGAACACCTTTGAAGGCTCAACGTTTTTATTGGTAAATATTATACCTTTGGGCGCCATTACGCAAGCAGTTTGAACTCCAAAATTTCTCCCCCTCCACACAAAGTATTCTATCAATTTGACTAGGCAAATATTTGGAGTTTATAAACATGAAAAAAAAAATAGCAAATAATAATAATAAAAAAATCAAATCAATGCTGGCACGTTCCTCCCGTTTGCATGATGGGGTGCAGTTGAAAGAAAATCATCAAAGATGTTGACCACAGTCCTTTTGCGTTACATCATCGTCTCTATCTTTGTTGATTCTTGCCGAGGGTCCTCTGCTTTCAGAGCTCACGTTGTTGCAAAGCTTCCACACATTTGCAGGTGGGGGCGTTAGTGAGCGTGGGTATGATGAGCACTGTTGCAATGTCGCGGCCGCACATGGTAGCAGCTCCTTCATCCCCACTCCTCATCTCTTTCTTCCTCTCTCTCTCTCGTTTGGCCACAATTGCTAAGATCCTCCGCACCGGCGCTGCCAAGACCACAGCCAGAGTCGTGGCCGTCACCATGGCAGGGCTTCTGCAGCAGAAGGTGCAGCAGAGTGATGAGTGAGAGAAAGGGGCCTGACTGCCGTCTGGTGATGGCCTGGCAGCACTTGGGGACTTTCGCCCACTCACTCACTCCTTAATCCTTTGCTTCGTTTCTGTCTGCTTTGCAAGGACACTGCCACACAGACGCGCTCCAAAAGCATGGAACCCAATCGAATGCAGTGTACTTGGGACTGATAACTTCCAGTGGGGGAAGTTATCAGTCATGTGTGGGATCTCCAACAAAGACAGACATCTGTGCCTGCTTCATCTTTGGCTCAGTGACAGTCTCTCATTCAGAATCCAACCAACGAACATTCACTCACTCACACACATACATGCTCTTGAGCATATGGGGTCTACAGCTAGTTTGTTTTGCAGAGTGGTGCGTTGCAGACTCTCACGCAGGCAAGCCTCTCACCTTTCACTGGTTGTTTCTTCTGCAAGTAGCCTGCATAGATGGTGTCATAGTTCTTCATTGGAAATGCTAGCATTCATCGAAAAGACAAAAAAGTGTATGATTGTAGCTAACTCCACTACTCATGGATACAATTCTGGTTGCCTCCACTCACTGCAAGCGTTACATCGCCCTCTCGTTTGATTCATCAACTCTGCTCAATTGTATTGCCTGTGGCTCTTTGTGCTGTTTGTGGCAGGTCGATGTTTTATATTACGTACCGTTCACTGTTGCTCTTATTCGTGATAGTATCGAATCATTGTGTAAAATGAAATGAAAAATTTTCTTACCTTTTTGGTGTTTGTGCAGAGAAACTTGAAAGGCCAGAATTTCTCCTTGTTTCAAAAATCATAAATCAATAAATGATTTATTTATTTTTTGTGGAAATTTGAGAATCTTGAAAGCACCAAAGGAGTTCTAAATGCTACAAATTATTCTTTTTAAATGATAAGTATGACTCAATAGGGAGATCAAGGAATTAATAGTTAAGCAATAAATTTAGAAGGTTTTTGTAATTAGAAATTCAAGTCAAAATATTACAGCACAAAATCTTTTCCAAGGTTTTTGGCTTCGTGAAAAAATAAATTCTCCTTCAGAAGCCTTGGTAAATGGATGCAGTATAAAGTAAAAAAAAAAAAAAAAAAAAAAAAAAAAACTCAATGAAATAGACCAGATCATTTGTTTATTTCTTACAAGTCTCTCTCTCTCTCTCTCTCTCTCTCTCTCTCTGTATATATCTTGATTCTATAAATTATGAAAAAATGATTAATTTTTAATTATTAAATATTTTAGCAATTTATAATATGGCTTTTCAATTTTTTTTCTAAAGATCACCTTTTGCAATGAGATCAATGTAGGCTTTTAAAA